CATCTCCAGAGTTCACCTGCCTTCAACCGTGAGGGGCACCAATGATCAGAGATTAGCTGAACTCAGCTTTAACCCTTCAGAGAAATTGCTAGCTTCAGGAAGAAAAGTTATTTAAATAATACTGCCAAAAGCAAAGGCTTTTAAGGCCAGAGGAAAGGTGCCCCTGTTTAAGGTTGGTTTCCTAGCAAGTCCAAGGCCTGCAGCAAGGTGGGTAATTTCAGAGGGTATTAAGTGGCCAGGGTTTGCTCTATTATGCGAATATGTAGGAAGGAGCCGTCAAAGGTACTTCCTTTAACTACTTGTTCTTTTGTCTACCAAATGCCCTTCAGCTTCTGTTGAGCTAAATGCTAAACCGAAAGGATTAAAAAAAAAAAAAAAGTGTATTATCCCAACTTTTACCAGTCCACATTAACAAATTAACACGTGTGCCATCCATGGGCAAGAGATGTAAGCAGGCCTGGAAGGGGCGGTGAGATGTAGAGGAGCATTTGTATCTGCACCTCTAGGAGGACTTCTAAACACAGGCTATTTTGGACCTACACCTCTGTAGAAGTTCAGACTCACATAAACAAAATTCGCCCCAGCTGAGGTGGTGTTCTTCCGCAGGCCAAGTGTTTTTAAAAACATGACTGGCCAGTTAAGAAGTTTATCCGCCTGGTGCCTCAAATTCTCAGTTTATTTGAACACCGTGTGAACGGCTAATCTCCGACAAGTTTTGGGGCTTCAACAAGGTAAACAAATGGGTGGGCTGTGAAAGTAAACACTGCATTTCCTCCCAGTCTCATCCTCGTCTCCAAAATTACACGCCCTCACTCCTTTTGCGAGCCCCAGCCTCCCCCTTCCAAAGCTTGGTCTCTTGTACCCTGTAAAAGTACTGAAATTGCAAAGGAGACATTTTCAATTATAAGTACTACAGTAATGAATTCAAGTACACTCGTTTATCATAAAGGGCTTTCCCATCTGTCTCTAAAGTATACTTTAAAAGGCTGTGTATTTGATAACATTAGCACCAAGCATCTTCCACATGTTAATGTTCAGCATTTTAGATGTTTGCTCCCCCAACCCCCAAAGACAGCATTGTGGTGGTTCCAGAAAGAGCACATTTATCTCTGGGTTTGGGAGTGCCTGTGTGGTCTCTTCCTAATTTATTTGCACTCCAGTCCTCAGGGATAGCATCGCAATCCCCCTAGGCAAAAAGAGATTAGGGAACTGGGCTGTCTGCTTCTCCCCACCCTGACAGAGAAAGGAAAACAACTTCCCGAAGTCCCACAAGTTCTCTGGCCACTGTACAAATTGTTCCTGAGCATGGAGGGTTTCCAAAAGCCCTAATTAGCAACTCACAGCAAACATTTCTTTGCATTAGCTAATGATCCGGCTACACTTGTAAGCAAACAGAACCAACATATCTAATCAATGCTGAAAAACCAACCAAATGCCTATTAAACATCTGGATGTAATTTTCTAGTTAGAACAAAATGAAAACATATGCAGGTTCCTTTGATCTGCGTCTTAACAAAGAAATTGTTGATTAAAAAAGCATACTGGTCAGTCAATGTGTCATTTTCATAAAGTCTGCTCGTTTCTCTTCAAATGCTCCCAGTTTAATTTAGTTGGTTTCCTGCAATCTCTAATTTTACCATATTGTGTGAAACCGCAAGAGATTCTTTGGATGTAATTTTATTTGAGGTTTTACTGCTGCATGGATCTGCTACTGACTTTTTTTTTCTTTCTTCTTTGCTTTCTCCCCTCCACCCACCATGCCCATCCTGCCCTTTTCTTTGGTAAAGTGGTGAGGGGGAAAAAAGGTTTTAAAGCAATGCTCGGAAGATTTCTTCTGGACCCTACATTCTTAGGTTTAAGAACACTTCCAGTTAAAAAAAACAAGTCAGGGGCTTCCCTGGTGGCGCAGTGGTTGAGAGTCCGCCTGCCCATGCAGGGGACACGGGTTCGTGCCCCGGTCCGGGAAGATCCCACGTGCCGCGGAGCGGCTGGGCCCGTGAGCCATGGCCGCTGAGCCTGCGCATCCGGAGCCTGTGCTCCGCAACGGGAGAGGCCACAGCAGTTAGAGGCCCGCGTAACGCAAAAAAAAAAAAAAAAAAAAAAAGTCAAATGAGGAAATGTATAACAGCTGAAAGGAAGAGAAAATGACAAAAGTGATCTTTTAAAACTGTGCATAATTATTATTTATTTCAAATAAAACAGTAATAGATTTAAAAGATGCATAATTTCTATGATCAGCATTCATAATTTTTCCCATTGTGTCTAGCGCCTGTACTATAGATAGGACCTAGTTTTTGTAATCACTTATACTATTGGTGAGTTGAAAATTTGATAACTCAGCAACAAATGAATGGAAATATACTCATATATGCATCGATGATAAAATAAATAATCTGGCAATCTTTTTGTTTCTTTTGCAGAGGATAAAGAGGGAACTTTTTTCAGAGACAATTTCCTATGGACAAGGGGTACTTAATATTATTTCATGTAAAAAACATCATCAACATATGAATATGTTAAAGGTAAAGAAGATTGTGGTTAACAGACTTTAAACAACAGACCAAAATTATAGATTTTGTGAGTAGGACTATTTTCCTTTAAAAAGGCTGTAGGCAATCTGCACATATATTATTTATTTAAAACATAAGATTAAAGCTACTTGATTGTTTAAACAGCATCATTTGTAATGCAGTTTGATGAGAGTTTTGTAGTATAATTATTACAGCATGACAATCACATAGAAAACATGACCTTGAAAAAGGGCCCAGCCTCCTGTCTTAAGGAGGATGTGCTGTAAGAGAAAGAAGCCATCAAAAACCGACCATCTTCATGCAAACAATTAAAGGCCTTCCAATTTTCAAATCAGAACTCTTTCTTTTCTCCAGACACTACATCATAAGTAAATCAGAAAGCCTGGTGATTCAAACTCTACTGGTAATGAAGCACTAGTTAAAAGAGAATTTCTAAGTTTTACCCTTGGCAAACTAGGAAATATGGTGAGTAGACATGTTTGCTGTGAACATTTAAAAACAATGTGTTAGAACTGATTTTGAAGGGGATGGGGAGGGGAGAGAAAAAGAAGTAGCAACAGTTTTGTTCCCGTTCTAACTTCTCTACTTAAAGTTAAGTACCAGCGTGTGCCAGTAAATCAAAGTAAAGCTTGGGTAAGCCAGAGAAAAGTCTCAGTTGCCCTAGTTGTCCCTGCATGCACAGGCATATTTGTGGCATCTAAGCACTTTCTGTACAATCCTGGAGCTGATTATGGGATGAACCAACCACAGACTGGTATAGGTGGCCCATTCATTACATGATTTCAAGGCACACAGGTTGCCAACGGGCAAAGCTTAGTTGCCCATGGCAGTATGGTTCAGAAAGTTCTGTATGTGGAGCAAGCCTGTTCTCATCATCACCAAGTTTAGCCAAGAAAAGGGGCAGTGCTTCTTTCCTATTCATTTCTCATGTCAGCAAAATGAATAATAGAACCCCTCCCTTACCCCACTTAATGAGCCACAATGCTGAACTTGTTTGAGAATTACTATGGTGTTGTACAGACTGGCTAAAATCACTCCTTTAATTTTTCATTTCTATTGATATTTGGGATTGATCCAATTATAGACAAATCAATATCATACATATTTAAGAACTCCACCAGTGAAATGTATTATCTAAAATGATTCTTTTAATATTTCAAGAAAAAGATCTCTGTAAAAGCAAATCTTCGAATAAATTGTATTTCTGTTTAAATAAATGCGTTCCCATAACTCTCTTGAAAGTAAAATAATGGTAACACGGAGGCCATTAACACCAAAAACTTAGTATGTTCCAACATAAGATGAATGCTTGTCAAGGATGTGTCTTTCTCATGGAAGAATTCACCACCATTTGGCTAAAACAGCATTATTCACGTACCAATCATGTGGAAATAGCTCAACTGAACTGCTCTTTAAACTCAAGTATAAATGCGACAATATTGAAGGTTTTCTGTGGGATGTACTTAGAAAAACAGACAAAAACTGGAGATTGACGCAGTATGCCTTGTTTATTTAAAATCTCAAAATCCTTTTAAAGTCAAGTTCCACCTCATAAGAATTTTTTCCACGTCCTTTACCCAACGCTTCCCATTCAGCTCCTTACACATTTCTGCCGGGGAGGGGGGTACCACCCGAACTATGGGGATGGGGTGGGCAGGACAGGTTTTTCAGGTCTCAGTGCTGTTTATCCCATTGTCTCCCTTTGTTTCTAGTAATTGGAAACAGACTCGTGGTCATGTCGCTGAGAGGCCCCTAAAACTCTCAGCAGCCCTCTACTTCCCAACACAACGAAATCAGGACTATCAAGAGAAGGACCCGAGATTTCGCGCCGCGGGCAAAACAACGCATCTGTGACTGGGACGCGTGTGCCTTACCCTGGCAGCACCGCGGGTATCCTTCCCGCCAAACCAAGTCAGGCCAATCTTTTTGCAAAGTGGTTTGAAATACTCCAATAAAAACCAATTCCTACCACCTTGGGTGCAAAAGGGGGCGTGGGCATCAGAAGCCTAGTCTTAAGCCGCTGGTGTACGTACGCCAGCCAATGAGTTGCCCATTATGCATTTTCCACAAAGTGCACAGTCCACTCCTCGTGAGTCCGCGAAAAGGCAGCTCAAGGAAAAACAATCCTCAGAGAAATTTTTGAACGTGACCTCACTTTCAAGAGTAGCATCAAACAAGGGGCCAGCTTCGAAAGACGCGTTTGGCTCGAACCAGCAAAAAGCACCCACTCTCCCTCATTAGAAACTACGCGGTTAGTCTCTGAGTTACTTTCACTGAGATCTGAGGATTTTCGTTAAAGGGAAAGTGAACAAGTGGCAGGATTTTTGCACACTCGAGCCCCAGGTTTCGCGGCTGCACACTCGCGGGTCCCTCCCGCTCGCGCGCTCCCGCGCGCTCCCTCGCGCTCCCTCGGCTGTCCCACGTTACTTTGATTGACAGCCCAGCCCCGCCGCTCTCCTTCTCACCGACCTTCCCATCTACAGTGCCAATCTCCGCGTCTCCCTGCTTCCCATTGGCTGGTTTCGGCGTCCCGCGGCTCCTCCAGGAACAGTTCCTCACCGAGCCCGGGAGGACGCGGCTGGCGGAGGAGGGGTGGGGGTGGACGGGAGGGGAGACGGGGGAGATGGCGGAGATGGAAGCGAGCGGGGTGGGAGAGGAGGGGGGGAGGGGGAGACAGTCCGTTCGGTGCCGCGCTGCCATAGGCTCTGAGGAGGCGTTGCGTCAGCAACCCACGTTGGGCACGGCGCACGCGATTGGCTGACGCGGGCCTTCCCGCTCCCCCCTCCACCAGAGCGGGCCCACGTCCCCCGCCGGCTCGGCGCTCGCGCCCCCCGCCCGCGCGGGGCTGGGCGGGGCCGGCGCTGGTTAGCTCCGGAGTGTGAAACCGCGTGTTAATGTAACCGGCGCGAGAGGCGCGGGCGGCGGCGGCGGCGGCGAGAGCGGCGGCTGCAGGAGCAGCGGCGGCGGCGGCGGCGGCGGCGGGTACCCTGTGCCCCGCGTCCCCGAGGCAGCCGACTGCGCCACCCCCACCTTCGCACGGCCGGGCGGGACCCGCGCCACCAACCCGGACCTCCGGTGGCCCTCGGCGACTTAACCCCCGCCGCGAATACTCCGGACTCGCCCGCGGAGTTTGCCCGCCGGGGAGGGAGGCCGAGCGGTGGAGAGCACTCTTGGACTTTTCCCCACCATCTCTTGGATGTCGTTCCCCGGGTCGTGAGAGAACTTTGCAGTGGGCTGGAGCGCCCTTTGCGGAGAGGCGGACGAAGAGAAGGAAAGAAAGGGGGTCGACAGAGAGGCTCGGAGGAAAGGTCCGGAGCGGTCGCGCCGGCCGTGCAGGACGAGTGCGCGCGGGCCGCGGCGCCCGGATGCGCCCAGGGCTCGAGGAGCAGCGAGAGGCTGCGGGACTGCCCTCCGCGGAGTAGCCCAGGAGGGTTAGGAGGGTTTGTGCAACTGCGGAGAATACCGAGAGCCGGCCGCACTGGGCGTGCCAAGCCGCCTCCCGGCGCGCCCTCCTCACTTTCTCCGCCTCATCGTCATCCCGCGCTCCTCGGCTCGGATTAAGGCTGCGGAGCGCCGGGCGCGGAGCCTCTGCTGCGGCCGGGACCTCGCATCCCGCTGCCTCCAGGGAGCCCGCGGGTGCCTAGTTGTGGGCGCTGCCCGGACCCGCGACGGTCAGCCCTGTACACCGTCACGTTTGTTTGTGTGGGGTTAGCCCGGAGCGCCGCGCCACCTGCACCTCGCCGGCGGCCGGCGCCGCGGGGAAAACCCGGAAAAGAGGCGGACCCGGAGAATAGCGAAGGAGAGCAGCCCGCCTGGATTTGTTTGCCCGGGACGGCTGCGGCGCACGCGGATCGCCGAGGGGAGCGCGGCGGGAGTCACCGCGCCCCCACCTCCCAGCACGGGCGGCCGAGGCCCGCGGATTGGAGCGTAGCCCTTGCGCCCTCTTCCCGAGTGCCGGCGGCGCCCCGCAGGTTTTTGGTGCAGCCGGGCCCGGGTTGCCCCGTGATGTGGCCCTGAGCGCGGGAGCCCGCACCAGCGGGATCAGGAGCGGCCCGGCGCCGAGTGGCCTGTACGCCCCGCCGAGCGCGCCTGCGTGCGTGGCCAGCGCGCTACCCGCTTTTGCCTGGCTTCCCGGCTTAATTTTCCTCGGCGAGATTAAAGTTGGAAATTGAGCGGAGAATTGAGTTGCCCGGGAACAGAGCCGCGGCCGCCGCCAGAGCGATGTTCCCGCAGAGCCGGCACCCGGTGAGGCGCGGTCGGGTGGCTGAATAGGGAGCAGGGTAGTGGGGGTGGGTGGGTGCTATTGCTTTGGGTGAGGAGGTGGGTGGCTGCTGCATTTTGGCGGAGACCCTGGCTTCCAGGGGTGCTAGGCTTGGGAGGTCCCGGGCCCTCCCCTCCTGTGGTGGGGAGTGGACTGAAACTCAATTTCCCCCCTTTGCTCTGGGCTCCCTCCTACTTGACGTCTAGACTGGGCGGGCGGGGCGCTCGGGGAGACTGGGGTTTCTCCTGCGGCCACATCCTCTCCCTTCCCCGAGGCGGGTAGGGCGCCCCCCCTTTGTTTTTCGTCTCGCCTATTTACATGTCAATGCGGCCCCCGTTCCGGCGCGCCTGGAGGTGGCCCCGGCGACACTGGAAACGAGGAGCGTAAGGGGGTTTTCTCCTCTGGTGCCCGGGGTCATTATCGCCCCGGTGAGGCAGAGGGCGGCGGTGTCGACGACAATCTGGCCAGGTCCTCCCCGTTCGCCGCCGGGGAGCCCCTGTCCCTTCAGCCAGGTGACCCGGGCGCGCTTACCGCGCGACCCGCCCTGGAGGCTGGAAGAGGCTCCAAGCCTCTTTAGAAGCTTCGGATCTGGGAGGGTCCCCCTTCCCTCTCCCCAAAGTGAAGTGCAAACTCGAGTTTGGGGCTCTGTTTTCCGCCACTTCTAACTTTATTTTTTATGTCCCACCCACTCTTTCGTTCTCTGACTTCTCTATCCAACCGCCCTCATATCCGTCCCTCGGTCCCCCTCGCTGGTCGTCCCTAGACGCCGCACCAGGCTGCAGGCCAGCCCTTCAAGTTCACTATCCCGGAGTCCCTGGACCGGATTAAAGAGGAATTTCAGTTCCTGCAGGCGCAGTATCACAGGTGCGTGTCCGGCCGCGCCCGTTGAGCGGTTGCCCCGGCAGCTCCGTGCCCCTGGTGGTGGCGGCGGCTGTACTTAGTACTTGCGTCCAGGCGGTGGCGTGTGGAGTCGCAGTTAAGACCTGTCATTCACGTTGCCCCCTTTCCCGGCTCTTCCCGGGCCGCCTCTTCTCTTGTCTCCACCTCCTCCCATTGTTTCCCTTTTGCCCGTTTGCTTGTGTTCCAGGGAGCCTTTTTTCGTGTATTTAGGAGTTGCATGAGAACTGTCAATATTTGCACTTCATTTATTTATTTTGCAACAGGCTGAGCTGAAACCTTGGTTCAGTCGATGCCCCAGTTCAGGAGTACAGGTTCAGGGAGGCAAGGCGGGTGTTGAAATCACTGTTGGCCATACTAGAATTGAGTTCTTTGAGGCAAAGTCCATTATGGAGGGTAAATGCTTTCAGTTGTGCCCATCATTAGCGGTGGTGAGGGGGGGTGGGGTGGATGTGTGTAAGGGGAAGCCCACCTGCTTTGGCTTCATTCTGGATTGGTTTGGGTAGGACAGGGCTTGGAGTCACATTTATAGCCGTCTCAGCTTTAGCGTCTTCATGTAATGAGAGCTGCTTCAGAAAATTTATAAATGTAAACTATTTGTAAAGCACCCTGTCCATAGTGGACTTTCTAGAAATGTTAGTTTCTTCCCCTGTTTCTATTAAGTCTTAGCTGATTAGAGCGAAGAAATAACTGTGTAATGACAGTTTTTATTTTTTGTCACACTTGAAAAACACAGATGCTTGGGTGTGAATTTTCTTATTTTGCAGAGGCTTTGTGATTATTGGCCTTTTGTCTACTTGAAGATAATAATCTCTAGAGCTTGAAGCATACCTGCCTACACTATGTTTACCAAGCAGGGAAGACTTCAACGAAGTACCTCATTGCAGAAGCTATGTAACATGTTTTGGCAGGGAATTAAAAAACAAAGGTTTTAAAAGGGACCAACAATTGTAGAAGTAACTTTACAGGTACAGTTTTCAAACCTAGAGACTATTTGAGTTGGCAGAGATGGCCTATGCCTGAGACTGAAGGTTGTGCAAAGGCCAGGTTTTGGTGAAGTCCACGGAAGCAAACTCTGATGCAGGGAAGCAAGTACGAGTGAACAGATGACCATGAGGAGAAATCAGTCTTCTGAGTAGATCAGAGGTCTTGACAGATTTTTTTCGTTCTTGGCATGAGACCAGGTCTGCACCAAGAAGAAAAAGAATAGTTGCAGAGTGGATACCTTGTACTGTTCTCCTTATTCCTTTTTTCCCTATTAAATGCAAGGACAAAGCTTTTGGGTGTTTACCTAGATAGTTTATGGTTTTTCCAAATTGGTCTGTGTTTTTACTTGAAGTGCAAATATGTGAGGCAGATGTTAAAACAAGTGACATAATGTTTACATTAAGTTGCCTGTTTTGTTTTTGTAGCCTTAAATTGGAATGTGAGAAACTGGCAAGTGAAAAGACAGAAATGCAGAGGCACTATGTGATGGTAGGTATCAAAGATGAGGCTTTTTTCCTTTTCACATAATATTAACAAATATGGGTTCTCGGCTTTACGAAATGTGAGTTAATGAAATGCTTGGTTCTTTTTTCTTTTTTACAGTATTATGAAATGTCATATGGATTAAACATAGAAATGCATAAACAGGTAAGCTTTAGCAAAATCTCAAATTGAAATGCAAAGTAAGTCATGATTTTATTATACTGGCTTTGTCCTCAAGAGTGGGGGGGATTTGTATGCCATTTTTCAGCCTTGGTTTCCCTTCCTGCAAATTGGTGGCAGTATTCTGCAGCAGGAGCTGCTTCTTGACATTATAGAATGTTTAAGTTACTAGGTGAGAGGTACTTTGGAAGTGTAAACTAGCCTGTTTATAGGCAGGTAGGAATTGAGGCTCTGACTTGACTTTTCTGCCTGGATACATTTATTTTCCTCTTGAAAGATCTGTGTATCCTGTAGAGTTCTGAAGTTCATAATAGCTAATGTTTTTATGCTGATTTGGAAAGAAGTGTGAATCTCTGTGGGAAAGAAGGGTATTCGGGAGTGTCCTTATTCAGGTTAAACAAGGTATATGACTAACTATGGAGTTCTCCCTATGCTTTGGGGCTGCATAAAGCAACACTCAGGATCAGTGGCTTATTAGCAAACATTTTTTTGAAAAATGTCTCAGTTGATGCAGGTTTGGAGGTGAAAAAAGCATCCTTTTATGACCACAGCATATGTTGGGCGTTGCTTCAGTCCTAGTGGTTTTAAAAGCATGAAAAGATTAGTGACTGGAAAGCTCGAGCTATGACTATGAGTTTGCAAGTTCCCATAAAATTCACACTTATGGCTACTATAATGGTGTATAAAAAGAGTATTGAGCTGGAACAAGGCACTAAGGATCTCATAAGAGAAGAAAAGCTAAATGATTGCTCAGCCCAAAGGACCCTCGATTGAGTAGTCATTGTCTGCCAAAGAAAGCATTAATGGCAGGGTGTAAGTATTTCGGAGATATGCTGACATTCACTTTTTCATCAAGACTCTGGTACAATAAGTCTTTTAGAAATCGATTGCCTCTTAAAAAATTATCATCAGATGAAGTTGCACAGTTGGACACATTTCAAAGTGCAACAATACAATTCTTACTTGATGTATATGTGCTATTTCATCTCAAACCCTTGTTTCATTAAATTAAAGAGCATGGCTGACCGGCGGGGGCACGGTGGAGAAATTGATTAGTTCAGCCTTCAGATCTTCCTTATATTCAAAGACTTTCATTAAGCAAGTGTGTTTCAGAGTTGAATTCTGCTTTTGTAACTCTGCGCTCTTTGATTTTTAATTCATCATAGATTTCATAATGTTAATTTATCGTCAAGTACCTTAGATCTGTTCTCAGTTATGTGTTTGGAAGGAGATAGTTAAGTTCAGGGCCTTTCATTAACAATGTAATTGGGCCTTTAAAAGTGCTGATTTTATTCTGATTTGCAAAGTTGGTAGCCTAGTTTATGTTGGGTTTGTGCCTTTGTTTATGTGTGCTTAAATGGCTAGTGCCTGATTGAGGCAATTGTAACTTGTTGATAGTAATTAAGCTAGAAGATATATGGTGATTTAAATTAATTACACAAATAGATTTGGTCAAGCAGTTCTAACCTGCCACTTTTTTTTTTTTTTTTTAAGTTACCGTAAAGGCACATTTTTTTTCCCCAACAAATATTCTGGAAGGGTAAGGGGAGATTGAGCTTTCTCTTAAACTCATGAACTCAGAGGATTTAATAACCTCACCGACTCCATACAAGGGAATGCCACCTCTGTGTGATGTGTGCTGGTGCTGGATTTATGGGGGGAGCTACAGGAGGTGTGAAATTCTTCTGGGTTCCTGTAGGTTGCTTGGTGGAGTGACCTGTTCTTTATCGCGTAGGAAGAAGGAAGAAGGGGCGAGGAGGGTCGGGAACCCCATGGTGTGAAAATAGTTTTCTAATGAGTTTCTGTATTCCGTCGGGCATTTGTGGGTATATATCGTCTGTCCGTGAGCCAGTGTGCATTAATAATATGCTTAGTAATTTGAAAGATGTGAAAAGCTGAGAGACGCTGTGTTCTTCATAGTAGGATATTAAGCCCCCTGAAACTTAGTTTATATTGTAAATGCTGACAGACCCTTAACTAGAGTGGTATGCAGAACAGTGCTGTAATTCAGTTTAAAGTGGCCTTACATTTGAAAAACATGCTTCTGAATGTCACACATTAATAATAAGTTCTGAGGAGGCATTTGGTGCAGCTAGTAATCATAATTCTTATTAAAACTGGTGACGTCTGGCCCCCAGGGTGTAGCCAGGCTCAAATTGATGCTTTTTGCCGCCTGATCACCAGCATGGCCTAAGTGCTCATTATATTGTAGAGAGGGCCTTTGGAGCTCTCATTAGATTTGACAGGAATTCTCTCTAGGGGGAAACTGGGCATTAGCGAGACTCCTGACAGGCTGAAATTAGTCCTGCTTTATGGCTTATAACCAAATGCTAGCAAGGCATCATCAGGGGACAGAAAAAATTGTCATTTCTGACAACATCTTTGTTACTGAAAAAAAATGCAGTGATGGGGAAACTTTGCGCGGAGAGAGCTTTAATGTTGTTAAGATTTGTCTCCAGTGTGATGACCGCTCTCCTCCCCACCTTTCAGCGGCTTTGTTGGAGGAGTGAGTTTGAGAGGTTTCAGTGTCAAATCTCACCACCGATTTTTCCGTGTGGAAGTTTTAAAGTGGAAGTGCATCCAGATCAAGCATGGTATAATCGTGGTTTCCTTACTTGGTTTGGTGCCCGCAGTCTGTGTTTATGTTGTGTCAACACTTCCTGATAAGCCTTCCCCTCACTTTCTCTGCTGCTATTTGTGGCTGGTTACCGAAAAGTCAATGAAATCAGGATGGTCATGGATATTTAAATCTTTAATCGTAGCATGAAGACAAAAATATTTTTCCTTTGAGCCTTTTATAGATTCCTGCCTGTCCTCTTTTCAGGTAGGTCGTGTAAACTCTAGATATCTCTATACAGAGAGGTGGAGACTCTTCATGAAAGATGGAGCCATTCTGATACCACCAGTGTTAGGGTACATGAAAAAGTAGCAGGTTAACGCGAGTCTAATTGTGTTTGAGGGCTGTGCCTAGTGTGTTTGGCAGTGTGATGTTTAAAGTTTTTTTCCTGTCATGTGGAGTGGTATTACCTCCTTTGATATTTTGGGGAATAAGATGCACTGTAAGTACTTGTATAAGCCTGATTTATCCCACTTGTATACCTTTTCAGCACACTGATGAAGCCGTGCCGTAAGTTGTCATTGGTGGCGTGAATTTGTACAGCACTTAGTTTTCAAAAGCGATTTGCCTCATCCTGTGAAGTAGATTGGGTGGTAGGTGTTAGATTGGGTAGGTGTTTTGCTCTGCCTGCAACTTTGGGTGCGTGCTCAGAGTCTGGGACTTGTCAGGGCCAAGCATCTATTTAAGCTTGAGTTTGGCTCACTCGGTTCCCAATTCAGCGCTTCTTCCCTGTCTCCCTCCTCCCCCACTGCCACTGGAGCATGAGGCCAGTGGTGGAATCACCCTTGGGCCTGTGCTTAGCGACCCAAGTCTACCCCACTGCGTGCCTGTTCTCAGTGTTTGTCTGTTTTGATCAACTTCATCATTTGTGAGACACCTTGGGGTGAGCCTCATGTTCTAAAAATTAGGAAAATCGGCAGTACTGACTGGTCTGTGGGGACCACAGCTGTGGGTAGGTAGGAAGTTGTAACCAACTGAGCAGTACTGTCCGCAGGTTAAAATGAGTCGAAGAACCAAAGAAAATTTGAAACGTGTTATCGGGGCTCTGGTTGAGCCCCAGTGACGCAGTGAGTTTGATCATTTACTTTGCCTCTCTGTGCCTGTGTTCTTCTGAAGGCAGGCAGGGAGTGCTTAGGGCTCTCCAGGGTGGTGGAAGAATTTAAAAATAAATGAAAGGACTAGCTCTGAAAGGAAAGTATTCTGCAATCCTGATGGTGGGGTGGGGAAGGAGAGGAGAAAGAGAAAAAGAAAAACCAGACGAGAGCTGAACATTTCCAAACTCTGTGTGATAGTTGAGCAAGCACAGTGTCTCAGACCGTATAAATTTTGGAGTGAAACTGCTCTCACAGCTTTGATGTGTGCTTTAAAGTTTCTCTTTAGAAAGAAATGGTTCTTTAGTAGTGTTTTTAAAGTGTTAAGGTGGAACGGTTAGGGATTCACCTGTGGGTTAATTCCTTAGATGGGACTCTTACTATTTGTACGTTTTACCTTTCTTTCTGTTTTTTAAACCATTGGGTTTTCAGTCTGCAGTTTCTCATTTTGAGATTTTTTTTTTTTTAAGTCAGTATCTCAGAATGGAACTGACCAGCTGGAGTATAGGAACTTAGAGTTAAGCCCCACCTTGTAATACAAAGAAGGTAGCTGTCTTCAAGGTTGGAGTGGTCCCCCACTTGATTTCATTAGCCAGGCCTGTCCTTTACAAGTAGGAGTTAAGAGATAAAGCTCCCTGTGTTTAGAACCTAGATTCCGAGGTGCAAGATTAGCCTTTGTTTTTTATTGGCAAGCGGGGCGGATTCTTCACTCCTTAAGCAGCACCCTCCTGACCCCTTCCACAGCTGGGCTAGTTGCAGATTTCTGTCCAGGGCCTGGCCTAGGGTGAGGTGAGTGAGGCCTTTGCCTCTGGCACAGAGTTGAAAGGAGGTGTCAAAAAGTTTAGCACTCAAGGTGAACAGTATTTTTAAAGTTCAAAATTAAAACCAAAAAACCCATGAGAAACAAAATGTCAGCATTTTATGTAAGGACAGGATGTGATAGGGTCGGGTGAGGCCAGGGAGGCACGTGTTGGGTCAGAGAACCTCCGTCACCTCCCCTTTGTTCTGCCATCTCCAGAGGGCTGGGCTGAGGCCCGAATGTCCCGCTGATCTCTGGGATCTACCTTGGTGTAAGATAGAGTGGGTTAAGGTCACTTATTTAGGGATTTCAGTTGGTGACTGGGTGAGTCATTAACAAGGTGCCTGGCCCTGGTTTCCGCCCGCTCTGTAAAAAGAGTTAGACTAGGCAGGCCCTAAAGTAGGGCTCCTCTCACCAGAGGGGACTCATTCCTCCAGAGGCATGAGTCCCCGCCAGGCTTCGGAACCCAGCACCTTGT